AATATTTGTTACATTATTTTTTTTCATTTCTTCATAAAATATGAATATAAAGAAAAATGCATCAATGAATTAAATTTAATTTCAGTTTGGATTCTAAGATGACAGAGTATTGTGTTAAACCAGGAACAAGTCATAACTTTGTAATGAAGTTTACAAACTATTCGGAAATCTTAAGTACTTATAGAGAATTACGCAAAACTTTATATGATGAGGAAAATGAAAATAAAAATAATTAAATAAATTTTGTTTAAAGTCTTCGAATATAACTCCAGTATATATATTACTAATTAAAAAATAATTATTTATTATAAAAGCAATATAAATGTATATATATATATTTATTTATTATTATTTTTCAATTTTATATAATAAAACAATTTATTACAAATACTCCAAACAAAAAATAATAATGAAATATATTTCAAATCATTCGGAATTAATTCAAAAATTAATCGAAAGTAATCTGAATTGCTACTTTGGTAGATGTCTATAGTTCATATATTCCACATCCATGTCAGTACTTTATTGCATGGAGATATACCATAAGATTTGTGTTCTTTGAGTCCAACATAAAACACTACCAATTAGAAACTGTAAATAATCCCAACTAGCATAATATTTGTATATAATATAAAAATATTTTTAATTATTAATTAAGAAAAAAATAAAACTGTTCATTTGTTACTTCAGAGACCATCTACGGTGTTATTCTCCTCTACTGCTTATCTTGTTAACATATTTATTGATGTTACTGTTAACGATACGTTTAACGATTGAAATAAGAAATATAGTCCCTAATTATAAAGAATAATAAAGCTCATACATAGGTTTGTTTATGGATGGATGACATTTTTTTGTGCAAATAATATATTCGAAAAAGGCTTAGTAAAAGCTGAACAGCCCGTGTCTTCACAACATCATTATTAAGATTTAGAACGATATTTTGAATATCGAGTAGTTGGTTTTTAAACATTCCAAAATTTTTGTACTGCATTTTAATAATTCCATCTTCTTCATTATTAGAGTAATAATCCATAACTTTGCTTGATCTGTAGGTCACAAAAATATGCAATACATAATATATAGATGAAACAATTTATTAGTAATAGTAATAGATTAACAGTTTATTTTATAATTTTAAGTTAATAACTTACTCCATTTCTATGCTTAGTTTCATTTTAAGTCTTTCAAAAATATTACCTAAACTGTATACAGTAAAAGGTTTTTCAAAATCTTCACAAAATTTTTGTATAAATAAGGCCCCACTCTTAAACAGATATGATTCCCTATCTGCAATATTAAAAAATTTAAAAATTAGTAAAAATATTTTTAGTGGTATATGTTATAGTATAATTAGTTTTAGTTACCTTTAGCAGCGCTGTACATTATTGTTAGATTTTGTGGTAATCGTAGCGGAGAGACTTGAACTAAATCAGATTCCATATCTCCAGTGCGGCAAGGATTGATTATAATCAATTTTTGTATGGGTTTTAATGTTTCATTTCGCAATAATGGACTTAAAACTGTGTCATTGATATTGTAACAACCATCTTTTGTATGTATAATATCACCCTTTGTACCATGTGACATTATTATAATATATAATTGTTTAAAACCAGTGAAGTCAATGCTACCAACTTTGATATAATTAAAAAAATTGAAGTTATTTATTTTAGGCAATGATTTTAAATAAATTTAATATTTTTATTTATTATAATTTTATATATATTATATATTTGAATATTGATTGCAAAAAATTGATAATAACTTGCATGAATCAGTTTCTTTTCAGAATTTTTTTTTTTTAATTGAAATTTAAGGTAAATAAAATATTATCTATTTTGGGAAAATTTTTAACCACAAGCACGATAGAAGGATTAGATAGTGATATATTCCAAATATTGCCTCACAAAGACAAACTCATTTGGAACTTAGGTATGCTATAGCTTTACATTTGGAACTTAGGTATGCTATAGCTTTACTAAGTTGAAATTTAAGGGAAATAAAATATTATCTATTTTAAGTTCTTTAATAATTGAGTGAATTTTAGCGAGGGATTTTTTAGCGAGAACGACAATAGAGGGATCGGATGTTAATATATTCTAGATATTATTTTATAAACACAAATAACACAAAAAGTTAGGTTGGGTGTAGCTTTACTAAAAGGTCATTGCTCTATAGGTAATTAAGAAAGAAAAGAATAGAGAAATTTTATTTAAGTATGTAGCAGTTGTGAGAAAGATGAATGTAAGAATCGGAAATTTTTAGCCATAAGCACAATAGAGGGATCTGATATTAATATATTCTAGATCAGGGCTGTCCAAAGCACGGCTCATGGGTGTCATATATGTTTCTAGTCTACCACAATTAGGCAAATTTTTCTGTTTTAGTTTGGTAACATTACATTATTTTATTTCTATAGTGTTCCAAATAAATGAATTACAACATTTAAAATAACTTATGACACTTCATGTTAATTAACTTGATTTACAAAGACTTTAGTATATATTTTTCGGGAAGCTAATTAAGATAATATAGAGAGAAAAGAATAGCGACATTTTAGTAATATACCTATGTCACAGTTAGCAGAAAGTTGAAGAACTGAACTCCACAAGGTAATATTGTGTATATATCTTTTCACACTATCACATCCAGTAATATATAGTTCCAATAATATAATAAGATTTGCTGTTCAGATACTATATCGCTCTATAATATATAATAATATATAATATATCGCTCTAAGTTTATATAATTTAAAAATATATAAATTAAATATATAAAACTATAAAAAATATTTATTTTCCAGGTAAATTTTTTCTTGCCGATAATGGCGTGTCCTTTTATGACGAAAGAAACTATTTAAAAGTTAGACGGATTCGAATAGCAAAGAAAGGACAAAGACAAAAATTTTTTATTTTTAATTTATTGAAATTTGGCTGACCATACAACACTGTTTCGAGTATTGCCAAGTACTCTTCATCAGTGGTCTTTGGAAATAATCGAATTTTATTTAATTAGTTTATAGTCCGTATATAATTTGTTCGGACTGCAAGTGTCAGGCTTAGAACTCGTGTCTGTCAAATTAGAAGCGTTGACTAATCATGTTTATCCACAAATAACCAAGGCTGCACAAACTTTCAATGCTCAAATTCCAGGTTTTGTCACTTATAACGAGCTTATAAACTACAGCTTTATTTGGAAAAACCAACCAAAGCACTTGCCGTGCTTTAAATTAGAACGAGCTTATAAACTACAGCTTTATTTGGAAACACAAGTTCGTTTCAAATAAAGCTGTAGTTTATAAGCTCGTTCTAATTTAAAACACGGCAAGTGCTTTGGTTGGTGTCACTAATTAAATAATAATAAGTGACAAAACCTAGAATTTGAGCAATGAAAGTTTGTGCAGCCTTGGCTATTTGTGGATAAACACGATTAGTCAACGCTTCTAATTTGACAGACACGAGTTCTAAGCCTGACACTTGCAGTCCGAACAAATTATATACGGACTATAAACTAATTAAATAAAATTCGATTATTTCCAAACACCACTGATGAAGAGTACTTGGCAATACTCGAAACAGCGTTGTATGGTCAGCAGCCAAATTTCAATAAATTAAATAAAAAATTTTTGTCTTTGCCTTTCTTTGCTATTCGAATCGGTCTAACTTTTATTTATTTTCCTTTTCCATATTTACCTGTTTCCATGAGTTTTGTTACTTGATATGCACTACCATCTTTCACTGTTATATACGGAATCCTTTTATTCGTAAATGTCCTTTGCAGGCTAAGAATATCGTACTTGCTGGCATATCTAGCTTGGAATTTGGCTAATTTTTCAAAAGTTTGATGATTTAATATAATTGCCAATGCTGGATTTATATTGTATATATAACAGCCTTCATTCGTTGTAGAGTAATAATATCCAATACTCCCCTTGCAACTAAATGAAGCATGTTGGTATATATATTATTTAATATATTTGTTTAAATTTTTTCATTATTATTCTTACTTGTTATTTTGTTTAAAAATATGGCAGTCGGCAGAAATGTACTGACTTATCTCTTGTATACTGGTGTTTCCAGCATTTTTTAATAGTTTATCAAAAAAAGTTAAAGGACACATAAGAAATGAGTTTTTCTTACTGGTATTAGCTGAAAACAGAAAAACTTCAACGTATACTTATATGTAAGTTGAATAACAACATATTTATTATAATAATTTAAAAATATTATTTTATATTATATTATTTTATTTTTTAAAAATAATGTAAGTATACATTTCACAGAGCGCCTGAAAACGCCCTACGAAAGGGGTATCATAGCTCTGCCGCATTTACGGCCTTGAGAAGCATTCAATCACAGTTTTAAGAAGAAGAGAAGGAACTCGATCATTGATTGGTAAATTAAATTGGCAATAGTTGACTTCTGCTGGGAGGGCGTAGGGATTTATACACTTTTATGGCTATCAAGGCATAAGATATTTAACTTTTTTAATAGATGGCTGGAGATTTTGTTTATCCAGCGTACACAGCATCAGATAATTAACCTGCATGTGCTTTGTGATGATAGATTCAATTAGTATGATGTCGTAGGTAGTTGTTGACAAGGGATCTAAAACATATATATAGGTAGGAAGTAAATATGTGATGAATTCATTAATAGTTTTCATATAATTTGTTTTTTTGCCGCATAAATACTGAAATTATTTATTAATTTCGAAAAAGAGTTTTAGTTAAGTGAATATGTTGGCTTCAATAATTATTTACCTATTTGTTTATATTGCACAAATATCAAATTGTCCAGCAGTTTTGGTATTCTTCTATTATTACTTCGTTGTCTATTTAATTTTTCTAATTTTCCGTAAAAGAAGGAAGCACTGTTTATATTATCATCCATAAAACAGGTATCCACTTCATCATTTATATATAAAACATGAGTACTCGAAATTCTGTAATACAATAATATAAAATCAAGTAAATCGAATAAGAATCTGTTTTATTATTAATGATAAATATTTTAATACTTACTTCCATTTACAGTAAGACATCGTTAACACTACTTTTGTAACGCATCTGAGAGTATCATTATTATAAATTGCATTGAATAATTTTTTTAAAAGTTTGTTAAAGTCACAAAAGCAGTCAAATGTAAAAATAAAAAACAAACTCGCAAAGCCTTTATAATTTTTATTAATCACTAATTATATAAAACAGAAATAAGAATAAAATAAATAATATAAAAAAAAAATAAAAATTAAAAATATGTAGGTACTATGGCCTTATACCATAAGTTTATTAAACAAATAAAAAACACGTTTAGATTGTTCATTCACTATTTTATTTCTCTCTAGCGTCAACTTGAAGTTGGCTGCTTAACCTAAACCCAAAAATGTCATTTTTGGTTTCCCTTTGCCGGTAGATGGCAAAGTGAACGCCACAGCTACTCCCTCCTCAGTGCGCTAGTCACGGTGGAAATGTTGATGCTGTATCTGCAAACGTCACTTGCTTTTTGGTGCCTAGCCTTTTAACTGGATTGCTATATGTTTTCAGTGGAGGCTTCGTTTGCTGTGGATCTTCAACCGTGAATGCAGGTTTTAATCGCTCTGCCGCGACATTACTGTTTGTTCCATTTATTTCGATTGTAAAAAGACGGTCGTTAATGCGTTTGATGACTGTGAAGGGACCTGAGTATGGAGGTTCGAGTGGTTTTTTGTTGTGGTCAATGCGTAAAAATACATGCGTGCATGTGTAAAGATCCTTGTGAACAAATATGTTTCTCTTGATGTGATGCGCTGCTGGAGTTGATTTAACGTTTTGAATAAACTCTTTAAACTTGCATAAAAATGACTGATGATCATCTGTGTCAGATTCATCTTTGAAAAATTCACCCGGCAATCTCAATGTCGTTCCATACAACATTTCAGCTGCAGAGGCATTTATGTCTTCTTTCCAGGCTGTTCTTAAGCCCAGGAGAACCGTAGGTAAAATATCAAACCAGTTGAAATTGTTGTTGCACATTAACGCGGCTTTTAATGATCTGTGCCATCTCTCTATCATCCCGTTTGATGCTGGGTGATACGGTGTCGTTCGGATGCGTTTTGCACCTATCAGTTTGCCAAGGGACTCAAAAAGTGCTGATTCAAATTGCGTGCCTTGGTCGGTCGTTATAGTTTTAGGAGAACCAAATCTCGTAATCCATGTTGAATAAAATTGCGTTGCTACAGTTTCTGCAGACATGTCCTTTAAGGGCACGATTTCTGGCCACCGAGTGAACCTGTCGATCATCGTGAGGCAATACCTATACCCTTTATGTTCAGGCACTATGATAATGTCTATATGTACGTGGTCAAATCGTTGACTTGTGTGTTGAAATTCTTTCGGAGGAAATTGATTATGCCGACTAATTTTTGATTTTTGACATGCAATGCAGGTTCGAGTCCACTGCGTGATGTCTTTTCTTAACGACGGCCAAACATATTTCTGACTTATTTGTTTTTTTGTTGCTCTGTTTCCGGAATGGGATAAGTTGTGAACTGTGTCGAATATTCTTCGTCTTAAGGTTTGAGGAATGAAAGGACGAACTGTAAAAGTAGAAGTGTCGCAAAAAATTTTAACGCCATTCGGATACACTAGCTCTTGCAATTTTAGTGACGACAGGCCGTTTAGAATTTGCTTTAGTTCTGTGTCAGTGCTCTGTTCTTCTGCTATCTCTTCCGTGGTAATTGTTAGCGGCATGTTTATCTGGCTTATTCTGGACAATGTATCTGCTATTATATTGTCGCTTCCGGCTACAAAAATAATGTCCGTCGTAAATTCCGCGATGTAATTTAGATGACGCAGTTGCCGAGGGGATGCCTTCTCCATTTTTTGTTGAAAAGCATAAATTAGTGGTTTATGATCCGTTTTTACTATGGTGGTTCGACCTTCCAGTAAATGCCTGAAGTGTTTTATTGCTAGATATACAGCTAGTAGCTCTCTATCATACGTGCTATATTTGACTTGTGATGGTTTCAGTTTGCATGAGAAGTATGCTATCGGGAGCCATGTCTCGCCGTTCAGCTGTTGTAGGTGAGCGCCCACTGCTACGTCTGATGCATCTGTGGTTACACACATGGGTGCGTCAGGTGCTAAAAATGTGAGCTTAGTCGCGTTGATTATACCATCTTTGCATTGTTGGAAAGCTTGTTTAAGTTGATCGGTCCAAACAATTTTTCGTTTATCATTCTTTATTGAATTTTTGAAGAGACTATTTAGTGGCGCTTGCATTTGTGCTGCCTTAGGAATACACTTTCTGTAGAAATTGATAATGCCCAGGAAACGTCGAAGTTCCATTATGTTACTTGGCATTGTAAAATTTTTAATCACTTCAACTCGTTCTTGTGGGGGATTTAATCCTGTAGCTGATATTTCGTATCCAAGAAATGTGAGTTTTTCTACGCCAAATTCGCATTTCGAACTGTTGATTACCAATCGAGCAGCTTTTAGTTTTTGTAGGACACATTCAATATGTTCTCTATGTTTAGTGTCATTTTCCGAAAATATTAGAATGCCATCTAAGTAACAGAACACGAAATCTAATTCACGAAATATTGAATCCATGTATCGCTGAAAAGTCTGTGTGGCATTTTTTAGACCAAATGGCATCACGACAAATTCAAACAGACCTATTGGTGTGCTTACCGCTGTTTTAACAATATCATCTGGATTCATTGGTATGTTATAATATGCTTTCGTGATATCGATCTTAGAGAAAATATTACTGCTGTGTAGTCTTTCGGCTATGTCATCAATGTGCGCAATTGGGTAGCTATCAGGTTGGGTGTGGGCTTTTAATTTTCGGTAGTCACCGCACGATCTCCATCCACCCGTTTTTTTCTTTACTAAATGTATAGGACTTGCCCAGGGGCTGCTGGATGGCCTCACTATACCTTGATGTAGTAATACACGGA